TGGAGTCATAAACCCTCCCAAGCACTGAGAGTGATCTGAAGCTTGAGGACAAGAGTGGAGGAAAAAGGGACTGTTACCAGGTGATAGAACCAGGCAGCAGATCACAAATGCTGTGCCCTGTCGGTGGTTAATCACGCACACGTGCATGCTTTGGAGGTCACAGATGTGCTCACCCATAGAGAGAGAGTAACCTAAAGTGCCATGTGAGCTTTTAATTAGCTGAAGCCCATAATGTGACACAAGGGAGGTGAGGTATGAACAACAGGGAACCATTAACCCGTTAAAAAACACATACCTGCATGCGTTCGCCATTAAGAAGGTGTTGAACTGTGACTACCGGCTGTGAGTCATATCGTGTTATGGAGAGCTTGGACTCAGGAGAAGGACGATCATATCCATGGCATTGACAACACCGTAGTGTAATCTGATAAAGATGACCTAAAAGAAGATTTTTATTTTCTGTTACGTCGTTCTCTGACAAAAAAATCCACCCACTCTGTAGTTCATTTGTAATTGAGTGAGGAGTTGACTTTCCTCTTATTTCTGTTTGTGTGTGTGTGTGTGTGTGTGTGTGTGTGTGTGTGTGTGTGTGTGTGTGTGTGCACCATATGGATCCAAACTAATTGATGATTCGATGATCTACAATGCTTTCTGGGGCAAAGAGCTTTTAGAGTCTCTCTCTCTCTCTCTCTCTGTCTCTCTCTCTCTCTCTCATCCATTCTCTCTTGTTGTGTGTGTATGTTTGGTAAAGCTCCAGTTCTAATGGACCCAACTGCCTCCAGCCTGAGCCCAAACCCACACACTGCATAGCAGCCCTAATTCACCAGCCACAGCTGCACTGACTGATAACACTAGCTCTGTGTGTGTGTGTGTGTGTGTGTGTGTGTGTGAAGCAGGATTACATGTGAGAGCAGGAAGAGATTCACCCAGTGGAGGGTTGGCATGCACAGGATTGTTTGTTATTTTAAAGAGCTATAATCAATAATCATCACTTGAATCTGAAGCTCCACTTGACTTTGCGGAGCTTTATAGCATGTTTAAGCTCAATGTTTAGCAACTTTATGGTATGTTTCATACTTACCGCTCTCATAGTGCCGTTTAGACCGTAGCAGGCAGATGTTTTCAGCAAGAAAGTTTTAAAAACTCACTGTACACTCTGTAATAATGACTTGGACATTGTGGTGCTACACTTCACTTAGTACAGTTTTTTACGTTTGTCATAGTCTTTTCTTAGAATGAGAGAAAGGAGAAATGTTTGGTGTCAACACTTCACAAAAGTATATTCTAACCCAGCAGAGTGAATGGGGGATCATTCTTATTTACAAAGACTAGTGCAATGCTTGGTCTGTGGTGTTGCTGCTTGCAGCTTTCTCGAGAACCGCTCACAAAAAACAATGTCACTCTCAACACTGTGCTTCCTGCCATGACATAGTTGCGTCACACACTCAAGTTGCAGCTACTCACAGTCAGAAACAACAGTGAAATACACCTCGATTCACATGGGAAAAAAACAGGGGCAGACTTTACGATTAGGCAAGGTAGGCTTGAATAGCTGTAGAATTATTATGATGTTTAGATATGAAAAATATTGAATTATGTTACTATTCTAACTCAATGTACAAAGTACTACTGTGTAACTTAGAAAATATGCAACTCAACTGTATACCTCCTTACTTTGCACTTTGAAGGAGGAGGAAATAGGTAGAGCATGCGCCCCCTATTGGCTGGGTCCATGGCAGCGGCCCGGGTTCAATAACGTTTGGCGACCCTTTACCGTGTGTCATCCCCTCTCTCTCCCCCGTTTCCTGTCATCTTCCAGGTTCTCTCATAAAAAGGCAATAAAAGCCCTAAAAAATTTTTGAGTATACCTTTTTTAACATTCCCAGTACCAACATTCTCAGTTACCGAAAGGGTGAAAAGTAAAGGAAGATGGCGTTTGTATGAGCCCAAAAATCACTAAATCCGCAGCTGAAAAACACATGCAAGTCGTGGTGTCTCACGGTCAGAAACGTTTGGTGAAATACACCCATGTGACATTAGCAGGTTTTGTCAATTATCCAGCAAATGTAAGTGCGGTGAATGTAAGTCAGGCCCACTGCGAAAGATATACTGGAGTCAGTCTGCAGAGGCCTGAAGCCCCGCCGCTGCTGGACAGAGCTCTATTAGCTTGTTTATTCAAAGTTTATTAATATTGAACATGTCACATGTCCAAATTTGACCAAATTCGACACGGCACTCCCCTGGCTCCTCAGCAATACATCCGCCAAGTGTGAAGTAGGATGAGATTGTCGAGATATGCAAAGAACACGCAGACAAACAGAACGACAGAGATTACTTGGTTTATCGTTCGATGAAGAAGACATTTCACATACATGGTTTATATTCTAAAAATCAAGTGCTGGTTTAGAGCCTTGCTTAGGGGCACTTTGATGTATACACACATTCAAAAGCCTTCTTTTTCTGTCACTGCACTACCATCCCTTGCATAATCATAATTATAAAACCATGAGTCACATTCAGGGTTTGGCTCAAGCATGACTTCTTAATTAAGTGGCCTTATTCTTTACAAGGACAGAATTGCCTCCGGATTAAGAAGTGCTCAGTCATGGAAAGAAAAAATAAATCCCACAGCACTGATATGGTGGAGAAAGGAGGCAGGAAGGCAACGCCAGGCCACCCACACCTGTGAATTAAGTGCATGTCTTGGGATCCCAAAGCTGTTTTAAACTATTGTGTGAATTATAAGTGCCCGGCCGTGCTGACATTAGAGCGCTTGGTATAAAAAATAAAAAAACAATACAGGAAGATGTTTTACTCTGATTTCTTGCTTTTATGTCTGAACTGCATGTGAATTTGTTTTCCTTATCACAATCTAGTGTTAATATGCTTAGCTGTTCTGTTTTTGTAGCATGAAAGGCTAAAAGAATGGAACAGAAAACAAAAAACAGCTTAGGGACTTTAGTGTTAGTGTAAATACAGTCTGAAATACTCACACACACACACACACACACACACACACACACAGCACCATCCCCATTTATCACATTTCCTAACTGCAGGCGGAAACCAGCATGATTCAAAATTTTTTGTCAATATAGTGTTTTATCAGCCAAACCCCAGGAGAACTAAGAAAAATCACCGCTCGCTCTTCCTCCATACACACACTTGCAGTAATACACACAGTCATACATACACAGGATATTTTAGTGCAAATTTTGTTTTACGTCCTTGAAAAAACTGTAATAAAATAACCAATCAATCACATTAACAGGATGTATGGTTTTACACTTCTCATAAGCCAAACCATAATGTTTTTTCACCAGAATAAATGAGGATGCTGCTCCAACAGACCAAGACATTTTCATTTCCACTCCACTTATGCAACTCTCAGCTCTCGCCAATAGCACTTCAGAAGGACAAATTGTAATTATTTTTTCCTCTGTGGCCATCATGTAGCAGCCCGAGATGCCGCGTTCGCTGCTCTCTGGATATTGGAGTGACCAATTACAGTAAAAGACTGCATGACAGAGACTGTGGATCACAGTGTTTGTCCCTCAGTTTTAACCCTGAAAGTGACACTAATTGAATGATCTGTCATTATATACACATCCATCTTTTGATGGACACACAAGCAGGTAGCAAATATATATACATATATATTTTACAGGCACAACTGTAACCAAATTATGAGTTTTCGTTGTTGAACATTAACAATCTTATGTAGCTACTCCTCCTCTGTGACATTTCTCTCTCCATTCTCTGTCATTAAAAATATTTCATTTTCAAACTGATTCTTTTTTTTTTCAAGTCAGGTCAACACTCTACACTGTTAATCATTTTTTGAAGAGTGGGTGTCAGTTTTGCCACATGGCAGATATTTCAATCATCTGTAACAAATTCTGCCTTCGCCACCCTCACACACTCTTGCAAACACATCCAGTATGTACAGATCATGTGTTCAGAGTGGGCGGAAGCATCTATTATGTAGAGAGCTGCATTTATATACCAGTGTGCCTGTGAGCATCTCCATCAACTGTTTGCATTTATTTATAGATTTTTGCTATTGATTCTAACGACTGAAGCCAGCTTTTACCTATGCTGACACACTTTATGGGTAATGTCGCATCCGGCATCCAGATCTGTGTCAAAGGTTAGAGCAGAAAACAAAGGGTGGCATACTTTGGTTCAGTGGTACACACTCGCCGTCTTTAACAGCATGTGGGAGGTCACACAGATTAGAAATGAAAGATTTACTCTCGCTTGCACTAGAGGGATGAAGACAGATCCTGAAAACAGAGACGCTGCAGCAGCACAGACTTCCAGAGCCACAGTAGAGGTTCCCACAGCACTCTGCCCTCATTAGCATAGGACCAATACATGACCATGGATAACACTCGCCTCTGCACTTCGGCAAACACCACTGTTTCTGACAACGCCTCATGGCTGGGATAGTAAAACACAGTTGACATCCTGCGGCAGTCTCCCCACAGCAGCAACCCTTTAGGAATGTGGCTCTCTGCTAATTTGATTTGATTTGATTTGATTCCTCCTCGATATTAGAGCCTAGCACATTTCACAACTGACTCATGCTCTGCTTAACTCTGGCATGTGTGTGTGTGTGTGTGTGTGTGCGTGTGTGTGTGTGTGTGTGTGTGTGTGTTTGTGTGCCGCCTGCCTGTCCTTCTCTGGGTGTCTGTGCCAGACGGTCTGAGAATAGGCTGTCTGGAATTTGATGCACATTGATGAAAAGCTGTTGCCAATTAGTGGCTCTGTTACTGTGTGAGTAGTTTGTCTTTAACAGGACACTTCTGTATATAATGACCTTTTCACAGACCGATCTTGACGGGCTGAAGGTTTTCTACAAAGTTGAACTTTTTCCATAAGAACAATTTGGCTGCTGGACACAAAGGCCATAGTAAAGAAACTTGTAATCGGCACTGAATATCCCTAAAAAGAACAGTGGCATTATACTTACATGTGTCTTTGTGTGTATCCATCAGAGGCCAGATGAGGAGGTGGTGGTAGACCAGGGAGGGACCAGCTCAGTACTGAACATCCACTATGAGAAGGAGGAACTGGAAGGTGAGTAACATGCAGTGGAAAACACTGTTGAACCCTTTACTTAAAGTCCTTAAGTGTAGAATATTTCTGTGACTGTTTCAAATGGTTTTGATGGGATAAGCTTTTGTTTCTATTGCCCTCGGTCAGATATGAGTGTTTGTTGGGCAACATTTATCAAAAGATAAGATTATCATTTATGAAGAATGATGTCTTTTCACATCTGATATTGATATTGTTAATAAATGCCATGATTGAATAGAATATGTTTTCTATTTTTATTGTTTTACATGCCATTCAACCTTCACCTTTGGGTGATAAGGTTTGCAATTGACCAGTATGTCAGGGACACAGACAAACAACTGCAAACTCGATGGACAAATTTGTGTTTGTTATTATTAGCAGTGACAATAATCCTACTACTACTGCTAGTAGTATTAGTGTTTTATTCTAACAGTGCACAGTGCATTTAGTGCTTCTTGTTACCAACAACCTTCACAACTGCAGTTTGCAAGTTTTACCAGGTTTTGTTCCTTGGAAGTTGCCAAGAAGTAGAATGAAAAGAATGTGTTCAAAAACAAAAACATTTTAAAGGTACAGCACAAAACTGAAGAACTGATCTGATTAAATAGAAATAACAACAACAACAAAAACACTCTTAACATTCTCAAAGTCAAAGTTAAAAATGACAGTCCTGATGTGTTAAGTTGCAAACTTCATCAGATAACTTGCCAAGACATTCATTGTGAGATTTCTTTATTTACATTTACACAGTTTAGGAACACATCGAACAGCTCAAATGTTTACATATTTATTTTACAATAAATCATGACACTAAGTATCTGTATAAAACTATTACTCAGTGGTGAAAGTAAAATCTCGTCTCGCCTCTTTTTCAGGCCACAGGGCTCTGTTTGTGGGGGTTCGGATGCCCAGGCAGAGCCATCGTCACCACAAGGCTCACGGCTCTCGCCACCGCAAGAGAGACAGAAGGGCGGGAAGCATCGCGACACAGCAAAGCGAGGAAAGTGAGACGGCCACGTCCAGTCATGGTAACACACACAAAACCTCTTCTTCTTTGCTGACAGTGTCTTTTACTTTTCAAATGTTTCTTTAGGCGCATCCAGTGATTTCTCAGTCAAAGAGAGAGAAGGAAAATTACAAATTATTATTTGTTATACTGTCACGGCTCAGTGTAGAACACTTGCACATCCACCAGAGAGGAGGTGGTTGTTAAACAAAGCTTATCAATACTGCGGACACTTCACACACTTGCACACACACATACAGCACCCCAGGCTTAAATTGACAAGCCCACTAATTAGCTACCAAAGAGCAGGGACTAGTCAGCATGTTACATGTGTGTGTGCATGTGCTTAGGTGTGTTTGTGTTTGCGTGTGCATTTAAAAGGTGTGTATGACAAAGTAAGCAGTGTTGTGTGTGTTTGTGAAAGTCTTTTGAGAACCACTGTTCACCTCTCGTTCCTCCCTCACATTATCTCACTTCATCAGACACGCCGTCCCAGCGCGTCCAGTTCATTCTGGGCACGGAGGAGGATGCTGAACATGTGGCCCACGAGCTGTTCACTGAGCTGGATGAGATCTGTGTGAAGGATGGCAAGGATGCTGAGTGGAAGGAAACAGCCAGGTCAGGATTTCCCCTGGCAGCTTTTGCAACAATGCTTGGCAATAAAGCTTCTGACAGCCCAGCAGCTCTACAGCTGTAATTATATTAAAACTTAGTGGATCATTCTTTGATCCTTTTGCTCAAAGTGAAAAGCACCAAAGAGAGAAGAAAAACACTGCAGGTCATATGCAAAATCTCAGTTGCACATGCTAATTTCAAACCTTTCCCTTATATTGTGTGGATATTTATGTCAAAAGCATCTTTCCTGGGAGGGAATGGCGAAACCACAACGTAGCATGATGTGTGTTTGTGATGGGAAAACATATTATATTTTATAATTTAATGCTCCATCCTTCCTGTCTGCATTGATCTGGGCCTGTACTGATTAAAACTCTAAGAATTGCACTTAAAATGCTCTAAAGACCCAACATGGGAGTAAAACGTTCTTAAGACATATTCATCAAGCAACTCACTCCTACTTACAGTGTAGGAGTGACTATTTAAGAGCAACAAGTTATTAATCATGCATGAGAAGCCAATCAGTGACAAACAATTTGTGCTACTATTTTTGAAAGAATTGTGAAATCCTAAATATCATCATTGGAATTTAACATGGGAGACAATCTTAAATATATTTGTAATAAAAAATTGTAATTCATAAACAAGGGATTGAATAATATATGTATTTATATATCTCAGATACCAGATTTTTTTCTTTTTTTCTCAGAGTATTTGATTTATTGATTGCTGTCTGGATATAATGAGAATTTCAACAAAAATATCAAAACTATTTTAGAAGAAGATTACCATCCCTACTTCTTGAGCTCTCTTAAATTTAGGAGCATTTTTAAGTTGTAGGAAATTTGATGAGCAGAATTCAAAAGAAAAAAGTAATAACACTTCACCTTTACTCCTACTTGCAAACTTCTCGCCTGTCTTTACCTCGCAGGTGGCTGAAGTTTGAGGAAGACGTGGAGGATGGAGGGGAGAGGTGGAGCAAGCCCTATGTCGCAACTCTTTCCCTCCACAGCCTGTTTGAGCTCCGCAGTTGCATCATCAATGGCAGCGTGTTACTTGACATGCACGCTGACAGCATCGAAGAGATTGCAGGTGACAATTTTTCTAACTGACATGCATTCTTATCTCAGTACCAGAGCGCTGAATTACTGTCTTGAGATGTAAACACAAACAAGCACAACACTGTCTCGTGTCATTCCATACTTACAGTTCACCAGTGGCTGTAAAGACTTCAGCTGCATGTTTTTTCTGTGGTTGTGCTTTCCTAAAATACTGCAGCTGAACTTCTGTTGAACCTTATTTGCATCGAACTCTATAATTACATAAAGCTGCTGCCTGCACAGTTCAAGCTCATTTGCATGCAGAAACACGATTGGATAAGCACTGTTCATGTACGTGAATCACCCTAGTTTTAAAATCTGACAGATAAACAAATGATTTATATACGAATACAAACATTCACCCACAAACACACACAAAACTAAACAAATGCACAAATGTTTTAGCTGAATGCTTCTGCAATTCAAATTTAGGGTTCACGTTCTTGTCCATGCACCAAACAGACGCACTTGTACAGTACATGTACATACACACATACAAAAGATCACATGGTTCAAGGCTCCCTATCAATCAGTCTTCCTCATGGTCATATTATGACCCTGATTTACCTTGTTGCCTGCAATCATTCCTCTTCTCCAGCTCTCCAGTGCTCTTCTCACTTTCCTCTCTTGTCCATGTGACTCCTGCCAGCAGCACCTGGACTCAACAAGAGCAGCAAGATGGTAGACAAGATAGAGACAAAAAAGTTATTTATTTCTTTACTTGTTTGATTTTGAAAGCGTGGCAAAGACCAAGAGACTGTAATAGGAAATGCTTGAAGTAGCATAAAATGCGTATGCCAGGTATTATTGAATGTATCTCATTATCGTATGAGTAACTGATGGTCACCAGTCAAGTGATACACCGGAGGAGGCAGAGCTGTTGATGTAGTGTTAAATTAGAGGGGAAGTGTTCCATCCAGTGTGTGTGGAGGCTACGTTAGATGTAGCATTTGTGTGTTTTGATTTAATTTCAGGTGGTTCTCTTGTCACTGTCCTTGTTGATTATACTGGCGCTGAGCATCACATATTAAAGCGTGAAGCCTGAAGCGTGCTCAGAATTAATGCAGGCACTGCTAGTGTGTGTGTGTGTGTGTGTGTGTGTGTGTTTGTGTGTGTGTTTGTGTGTGTGTGTGTGTGTGTGTGTATCAGGCAGACACTTTGATTGAGTGTGGAGGAGGGAAGGAAATAAGGAAGGAAAGAGCTGGTGCTGACTCAGCAAGCGAAATAGAAAAGACTTGGAAGGGAGGAGAGCAGAAGGGGTGAGAGAGGTAAAGAGATGGTGATTATTCTCTGCAGTCCCAAATGACTTGATATGTTCACCACATACTGACTGACCACCTCCAACACGCACTTTCTTATCAGTACTGTGCCTTTACATTTTAATGACAGAAATTAAACCCGAAAAACTGAAAAAGGCAAATATGTCATAGTTCAAGGAAGGCTCTGTAGTTGGAGCACAGGGAATCTTAAATAGGTTATTAGCTAGTTTTTCTTTTATTGATCATAAATGGATTGAAGTTCTGGTCAAAATAGCACAGATTGGACCAAGGGATTTGTTTATTGGGTAACTTTACTAAACCCAATGCAATAAACCTCAAATAAATCTTGCTGGTCAATGCAAAAAAAAAATGGAAATCAGATGTCTCTCTCTCAATTGGAATGTGGCTCTCTGAAATAAATATTTGTATACCTTTAGAGAAAATAACTTCTTGTACTTATCATGCGTGTTTCTTTGTTCGTGTGTTGCAGACATGGTGCTGGACCACCAGGAGGCGTCCCATGAGCTGGACGACACTGTGAGAGTGAAGGTGCGTGAGGCTCTGCTGAAGAGACACCATCACCAGAATGAGAAGAAGAAGAACCTGATGCCCATCGTGCGCTCCATGGCTGAGGGAACCCGCAAACACTCAGAGACCCATCTGACAGGTGGGTGACAAACATTTCATTATCACAGATCATTTCTTGGTATGACTCATATGTAGGAATCCACTGTCATGGATTTAAACTATAATTAATTTTGTACATCTGGCTACAGAAACAGAAAGTCTTGGAAATATGACTTATAATTACTTAAGTTAGAGACAGGTCTGCTTGATATGATAATTACATAAGATTTACATAAGATTTAAGATTTAGACAAACTAATAAAAGTAGACATAGAGGAGACTAAAAGCAACAAGACTAAGTAACAGACAGACACATACAAAAGCAGGATTTCTAAGCAGTGACATTTAATGCTTTCAGAAACTGACTGCCAAAGCCTGTTTCCGAACAAATGGGCGATATATTGGCGGCTAAGCCTAACTGGCGTTTTTCTTACTTTGCACTTGGCAGGCCGATAGATATTTGCACTAACTCAGATTCTCTCTCTCTGTCTCTCTCTCTCTCAAACACACATACACACACCCTTACTGTCTAACAGGGTCAGCCACATCTCCCCACCCTCCGGCAGCTACAGAACCCGCCAAGAATGGTGGCGGACAGGACGCCACTCAAACAAGCAAAGTAAATAAGCAGGCAGTCATTAATGTGCTGCAGTTCGTTCAGTGCACAGTTTACATTTATCGGTAGATGTTGTGAAGGCCACAATAGAACTTGAATATAAAAAAGGGTGGATTAACACTTCGGACAACAGCAGTGTTTTTTGCTTGTATATTTGTTCGATACGTGTCTTGTAGCACCCTGCTATCTATAATCAATGTTTGGTGCACTGTGCTGTCAACAATTAGGAAACAACAGGAAAACTACATTTGTTCAAAGTGCATCTCACAGCAGCAGCTCATCGCTGCAACACTGTGAAGTACAGCCACAAAGGGCAAAGATGAAAGCTTCCATTTAGCCATTAATTTCCACCAGGGATTTTAGTGCATATCTGGACACTGATATCTGTATCCTGAGCACTGAAATGCTAGCTAGGTTCTCTGGCATTCTGCTGCACCTGTGGTGGGACAGCTTTATGTACATTAAAGACATTTATATTTGCATTGTTAGTTCTGAAGTTACAGGATGCAAGAATCTCAGTGCACCGCTGGAATTAAGTCTTTTTTTGTATTCTTAACTAAAGTTAACTTCTGACTTGTCTCACCAGGTTGACACGCACTTTATGAAGAAGATCCCAGAGGGTGCAGAGGCCTCCAATGTATTGGTGGGAGAACTGGACTTCCTGGAGAGGCCCATTGTGGCCTTTGTCCGCCTCTCCCCTGCTGTGCTGCTCACCGGACTCACTGAGGTCCCCATACCTACCAGGTAGACGGCCACCATGGTTAAGTCCTGAAATCAAATGTCAATATCAGTAATCCGGGAATGCTTGATATACTCTAAATCATCTGCTGACAAATATCAGGTTCCTCTTCATTCTCCTGGGCCAAGATGGAAAGGCTCAGCAATACCACGAAATTGGACGCTCTATGGCGACCATCATGACAGATGAAGTAAGAAAGCTCTGCCAAGTCAAATCTAACTAAGAAACTTTCACAGAACAAATCAAATCCCAACATCTGTATTGCGATGGCAGGCAGTTAAGCTTCCCCTGCCCTCACTTTTGTCTGGACCAGATCTTTCATGATGTAGCCTACAAGGCAAAGGACAGAAGTGACCTGCTGGCTGGGATAGATGAGTTTCTAGATCAGGTGACGGTTCTGCCACCAGGAGAGTGGGACCCCTCCATCCGCATTGAGCCCCCAAAGAGTGTCCCCTCTCAGGTACACAGATGTGATGAGATTTACTCTTTAGGTTTGAATTTTAGCTAGAACTTAGATGCAACCAAGAGTGGATGTATATGTATGTAAATGTTGAGCTTTTTTTATTTATTTGTCTGTTCCTGGACTGGTATTGGGTACCTGCAGGAGAAGAGAAAGATACGAGGAGTCCCTAATGGCACAACCTGCCAGGTAGAGGAAGAACTACATGCTGAGCACCACGGACCAGAGCTACAGAGAACGGGAAGGTGAGCTGTTATCTGCAGGTTAATTACACAGGCTTGTTGCTTCAGTAATGGCTTCTATAATACAAGGTTAATACACAACAATACAGACAAATTCAGGTTTCAAAAATAAAAATATTTGATCCCCACAACTGGGAAATAACATAGATGTAGACAGATATGCTGTCTTCCAAACAGGCTGTGGAGAACATGGATTTAGCACCTGTTTTGTTTACTGAAGGGATATGTGGAAGCCCGGGGTGAGTTAGCACTCTCCAGTTTGTCAGTGGCTGGCGCTAAAGAATCTAAACTTTGATTTGTGAGGAGCTGACGTGGGATAAGAAAGTGACAACCCAAGTGTGATAGCCTAAAAGAAAAAAGCATGCACCAAAACACTCTTCCTTTTATTTCTCAAAGGTCACTGAAAATCTTGTTTTTAAACCTTGATGCAGTGATGTAGAATTGTATTCTAGGACACTTGGGTGTGTCAGCTTGATATTATATCTCTACATATCTATTTCTTCACCAGATTGTGTTCTAAACTGCCGCGCCCCTCTTTTTTTGTTGCGTACTGTGATCAGGTTGTTTGGTGGTCTGATACTGGACATCAAGAGGAAAGCTCCGTTCTATCTGAGTGACTTTAAGGATGGTCTTAACCTCCAGTGTGTGGCCTCCTTCCTCTTCCTCTACTGTGCCTGCATGTCTCCTGTCATCACCTTTGGAGGACTGCTGGGGGAGGCGACAGAGGGACGCATCGTAAGGGCACAAACACACTCAGACACAGTAACGTACTGCAGTGGGATTGGAAGATTATGAATAGTATGGACAGTGTACATGTTACTGAATACGAGACATACACTCTGTATTTCCACCATGTGTTGTAGAGTGCCATAGAGTCCTTACTCGGTGCGTCTATGACTGGAGTAGCCTACTCTGTGTTTGCTGGTCAGCCTCTCACCATTCTGGGCAGCACAGGTCCTGTGCTGGTTTTTGAGAAAATCCTCTACAAGTTCTGCAAGTATGTATTACAACAACCTGTCTGTGACATTTGTATCATCACCACTGTAGTCGTCGGTTAACTGGTTATGTATTCCCTGTATTCTTCTCTTCTCTTTTCACATCAGGGACTACGACCTGTCCTATCTGTCTCTGAGGACTTGCATCGGCCTGTGGACGGCCGTGTTGTGTTTGATTCTGGTTGCCACTGATGCGAGCTCTCTGGTGTGTTACATAACTCGGTTCACAGAGGAGGCCTTTGCCGCCCTGATCTGCCTCATCTTCATCTACGAGGCCTTGGAAAAGCTAATCCACCTGGGAGAAGTCTACCCCTACAATGCAAACAGTGATCTCGACAAACTCACACTGGCGTAGTGAGTAACACAATTTTCACTTTGCTGGCTCATATGGCAGATTTTTCATTTTTCATTGTTTGTTGTCCTTTAAGAATATACAGCTGTCGTTCTCTCTACAAGCCTCTCTTCACATTGTGGCTTCACCTTTGTTCTCTCCACGTTTCTGCTCTTCTCTACAAGCCTTCAGATCACATCCTAGAATGCTGTTCCCTTCATGTCTGGCCTAATTTTAGTGATAAAAGCCTGCAAGCCCAGTTTTGTAAATCTGTGTTGTGCTGTCTATTCTCTGTAGCTGTAGGTGTGCAGAGCCTGATAACCCCAGTAATAAAACCTTACAACTGTGGAGTGCGAGAAACATCACAGCAGCTGAAGTACTCTGGACCAACCTTACTGTCAAGGTAATGTAACTATGTGGAAGCACACACACTCTGACACCTAATCTCAGTGTAACTTCCACATGAGCACACACTGCTTTTGCTCCAACAGGTTTACTTTTGTTAACATTCAACTAACCCACTCACCTTCCCGTGGGCAGCTCGCCTGACAACACTGACAAGGACATCTAATTGACTAACCTTTCACTGCTGTGTGTATAACTGAGCACACTAAAAGCTTGTCTTGTTTCTTTAAGCTTTGTAGACTCCTTCCTGTCCGTCATATAATTTAGATAAAACAGCCTTTTGATTTATTTTTACTAGAGTCAACTCAGGCAATTTTGTTCTAATGTAACCGATCTGTAAATCTCTACAGGAGTGTATCAGTCAGCAGGGCCACTTTGTTGGGACAGCATGTGGCCACCATGGCCCCTACACGCCAGATGTTCTCTTCTGGTCCACCATCTTGTTCTTCTCGACTTTCTTCATGTCTGCCTTCCTCAAACAATTCAAGACAAGTCGTTATTTCCCCACCAAGGTATTCGAAGTATATGACTGTGTCACCAGATATTCACAATGACATGCCACATTAGCAACCACCGATCCCTTGGTGTTGTTATCTCTCCTGCCCAGGTGCGATCCATGATCAGTGACTTTGCGGTGTTTCTCACCATTGCCGTCATGGTTCTGCTTGATTATGTCATTGGAGTCCCCTCCCAGAAGTTGAAGGTGCCCAGCAAATTCCAGGTATAGAGGAATTAATGATTCTAGTGCGGACCTTAATATGAACGCCACATGCTCATGTGTGAATCATGGCCTCACTCCTCTCTATTGTGATCTTCCAGCCTACCAGAGATGACCGAGGTTGGTTGATCAATCCAATAGGAAGCAACCCATGGTGGACAGTCCTGGCTGCAACTATTCCTGCTCTTCTGTGCACCATCCTCATCTTCATGGACCAACAGATAACTGCCGTCATCATCAACCGCAAAGAGCACAAACTGCTGGTAAGACAATATACATCTGCTTTGCACAGTTGTTTCCAACTGAAGCTGGTGACCTGCAAACTGTAGCTCAGTTATACGTGTACGTAACTGACCTTCTCTCTGGTTTGCAGAAGGGCTGTGGGTACCACCTGGACCTGCTCATCGTCGGAGTGATGCTGGCGGTGTGCTCCATCATGGGCTTGCCCTGGTTCGTAGCAGCCACGGTGCTGTCCATCTCTCACGTCAACAGCCTGAAGCTGGAGTCAGAAAGCTCGGCTCCAGGAGAGCAGCCTCGCTTCCTGGGCATCAGGGAACAGAGGCTCACTGGCCTGGTCATCTTCCTGCTCATGGGCTGCTCTGTATTCATGACTGGAGCTCTGCAGGTTAGTCAGACAAGCTATGCAATAATGCTGCTCCTCTCTGGCTGGGATATTTTGGATAATGTTTGTCATCAAAGCTCATTGATGTATTTTGTTTTTTTTCCCAGTTCATTCCTATGCCAGTGCTGTATGGTGTTTTCCTTTACATGGGAGTCTCTTCATTAAAAGGCATACAGGTAACGTGAAATGTGACACAGGAACAATATCCTTTATGGTAAAATATAAATATTTACAATAGAGCCACTGTAGTACAATTACAAAATGTCTGAATTTTGCACCCCCTGGTTGTAGTGTAGTGTGTTGTCATGTTTTTTACAGACCGGAACCTGTGAATAATTTGCAAGATGGAACAAACAGATATGTGTTCAACTTTTACTATATTCATACCTATTGCTTCAGCTGGGAGTCATTCAAATACAAAATGTCCGAGGTTATTCTTATACCCTCTCCATCTTTTTAATTTGGCTGTCCCTGTGACGCCCTCTCCTGATCTAATTAATTCCGTTCCATTTCAGTGAGGCCTGACAGTTGATTGTCAGACTAATCCAACTAAATGTGTCATTCATAAACACTTTCTCTCTCTTGCCATATTCACCACCTGTCTTCCTTCTCTGCTCTCATTAATTCATCTCTCTCCTTTTCCCTCTTTGTCTCTAACTTCTCCACCAACTGCGGTCACTTCTCAGTTCTTTGACCGTCTAAAGTTGTTCGGCATGCCGGCGAAGCACCAGCCAGACTTCATCTACCTGCGTCACGTCCCCTTGAGGAAAGTGCACCTGTTCACTCTGACACAGCTCACCTGTCTGCTGCTGCTCTGGTTCATTAAGACCTCACCTGCCGCTATCGTCTTCCCAATGATGGTGAGCTGGCAACCGCCAACGTCCTCTCTCTCTCTCTCTCTCTCTCTCTCCAAATGTCTTCCATTTAAAAAACGTTTTCCTCCTGTGCCTGAAGGTGCTGGCTCTGGTTTTTGTTCGCAAACTGCTGGACTGCTGTTTCTCCGACCGAGAGCTAAGTTACCTGGATGACTTAATGCCTGAGTGGAAGAAAAAAAACCTTGATGATGCCTCCAAATCGATAGAAGAGGTAGTCTGAATGGAATCTTGAAATACACAGATGAAAATAAATAAACATGCATCTATTGACTGCACGTTTGTGGCATTGATGTGTCTTGTAGGAATCACAGATTATGCTCAGTACAACGAAGGAAGACACAACTGCTGTTCAGATTCCCATGGAGAGTAGCAAGCCCGTCCAGACCCTCAAAGCACATGACCTCAGGTGAGCACACACACATGAACCCCCACACACACTCAAATGGACAGGATGGACATCAGATGATCAGAGTGGTAAGATTATGAGAGAAATGCTTCACTTTCCTGTCAATCTATATGTCTTGTTTGGTGTGTGGTGATCTGCTGTCAAGTGCACCATGTGAATACTAACACACTGAGACCTCTCCCGAAGCAACCAACTTACTCCCAACACTCTTCTTTCTGCTCTCACCCTCCTTTTCCTCTCCCTGCTCCTTAGGTGTGACCCCTCTGATATTAATATATCTGATGAAATGTCTAAAACCACCGTGTGGAAATCCCTCAACTCCAATCAAAAGGACATTTGTCCTGTAGCTGCTAAGAAGGCAAGGCCATACCCTCTTTTTCCTCACCCCGTTACCTGGAAATATTCCCGCTGCACATTGATGTCACTCACTTCTTTTGTGCTGCGCTATTGTTGCAATGATTGGTAATTGCAAATTGACTGCAGCCAAACTGCTGTGTTAATTCTGGATTTGTGTATTTTTCTCTGCAGGATTGAAGGGATTGCGTTCATAGACGAGTAAAAGATGTCCGCGGTCTTGACACACTGTAGTTCTGGACCACAGGACACTGCGATTTGGCTGCTTTGACCGTCAGCCACTTTAGTGCTTAGAGAAAAAGGTCTTGATGATTGCAACCAGCTAACAGCAACACATAATACTGTCCACAAGCATACAGACAAAGAGAACGTAGCACACGCACATAGATAGACATACACATGCACTTTTATCTTTGCGAGGACTAGAAATATTTTGAAAAGCGTATTTGTTTAAAATAAAAACTAAACTAATTCCAACTCTGATCCCTTGACTATGAACTAGCACCAACCTCAGCAACATTCATTTTATTTTGACCACTTAACCAGTTAGGAAAACCCTGGCCTCAACCATCATCTTCTACTTGAAGTTTTCTACTAAACCAGTCAGGGATGAAAGCCCTTAGTGATAAGTTCTGGCCTGTACACTAAAGCCTTTGGCTTTCCATCTTAGTTGTGAGATTGAAGGATGATATAAAGGAGGAAACTTTAAGGCATTCTCTTCTACAGCAGAATTCACCCGTGAGTATCAAATATATCAGTTTTAATTCATTTGTATCTAATAATGTGATTAAGAGACACATCCTGTTGCAGCCACAGTGACAGTAAATAATGAAAGACACTGTGACAGCTGCTGGTAATTTTACTGAGACGTTTGCTGATTCACACCTGACAGCCATGACTTTAATCAAAACTAATTGAGATGTAACATCTCAAACAGCCTCACACCACGACAGTTAGACAGTCAGTCATTGTCACTGGTCTGTCTATCTCCAAAAATGTCAGCCAAAAAGTCTGGATGGTTTGTTTTTAACTCATGGGACACAGCTGTTGTTTGTTTGGCATTGTCTGTAATTAGCTAACAGTTGCTATTTACACATCCAGAAGATTTGAAGCAGCATCAGCATTCTTTTTTTCCCTGATGAATGTATGTCCAATATTCACTCTGCTTTTAGCTCTGTTTTTTGTTTCTAGACCAACTCCTGGGAAAATGATGGTCTTTTTAGCTGCTAAATGCTGCACCAAGTTCACCAGCTAGTTGCTCACTTTGTGTATCAGCTGTTTGGTACTGAGCAGGTAGTTTACAGTGGATTGTTAGAGTAGTTTCGCCAAAAACAGCTGCCTGTTGCAGGTAAAAACAACCCTACGAGAGCCGTAAGTGTGAACTAAAACAGTAAAGTTATGGGCTAAGAGCAGAGGGATACTGCAGAGTTGGATGATCACTAGCGACCCCATTCAAATAGAACTAGTCATGTGATCACTGTTAATTATAAAAATAAGAACAGACGCACAAAGAACTCTCAACTCCCCCTTTTCACTCTTTCAACAGAAACAACACCCAGGTTTCAAAGGCCACTGTACACTTAGCTGGACTTCATGGTGGAGAGTAAATGCTCCTTTAAATGAAACCAGGTTCTTTTAAAAATACATTGCAGGTTCAGTAATACATAGACAAATCCTCTTTTGGAACATAGAACTTTGTGTCAGTTTTGTGTGATGATGTAAACTGAAAACTGTAAATGTTAGAAGACCCACTTCAGTTGAAGCAGCGGCATCAATAACGTGTATTTTTTAAGGTGTAATCTTTTTCCCTTTATGGACGTTTGTCTTTGAACTAATAGTTGTGTACGGTAGAGGTTGTTCTACAGAATATTTGTCATGTGTTAGTACTGTCTTATTTCTTTACCTCAGACGAGTTCATGGATGATCCTGCAAGGCACTTTGGACGACGTCAGTTCAGGGGAAACCAGAGCAGAGAAATGGTGTGTGTGTGTGTGTGTGTGTGTGTGTGTGTGTGTGTGTGTGTGTGTGTGGGTGCGTGTGCGTGCAAGAGAGAGAGAGAGAGAGTGTCTTTGAGTATCATGAAAGGGGGACTGCAGGACATTCTTTTAAGCAATAATTTACCCCAAATCCAACCTAACTCTTTATGTTTTCTTTTTTTGTGCCAGTGCAACATTTTTTATCGTCCCCATGTGATGTAAAGTTTAATATTTGAAGCCTAGAACACTTTACATATGCCAAAAAAGTAATCTTACACTCAATTAAAAGGATACATATTTTTCCTTCATTATTTGGAAGTCAGTTTGGATAAACAAGGTTCAACAGTAATGTGCTCCTCCTCATTTTTATTGATCAGAATCAAATCTCACAGAGCCAAAGGAAGCAGAGAGATTATGTTGTGAAAGAATGACCTCCACTAATATTTAATCTGTAGTTGCACTTTCTGTAGATAAGGAATTTGTGATATATTTTATTTAGAAAAAGTATATTGCGCAATTTTACAATAATTTATTACATTTAATTATTTTTAGATATAAAATTTCAATGTGTTCTCTTTACTTTCTGCATATACTGTAATACGAGGGATGAGCTGAGAGAAAGGCTGAATAATGCAGCACATAATATACTTATAAGAAATACCTTCAAAGAGAGCAAAGAGCTGATGGGAGACATCAGGAGTTTGTCTTAAACCACGAATGTCACACTCTTGTCCTCGATGGAGGACCTAGAGAGCCTTGAAACTGCTCATGAATCAAATATTGATTGCTTCCAAATTGGACATGAAAAGGAACAGACTAATTATTAATAATATTTTTTTAATTCAATAATTTATGCCTTTATTTTTGATACCAAGGTAACAGGAACTGAGAGAGAGAGAGAGAGAGAGAGAGAGAGAGAGAGAGAGATAACAAAGGTCCCGGCTGGTCTCACCATTCATTTGTAGATGGATCTTTAAGGGGAGAATATAAATAGATTAATACATTAAAAGTCATTAATTTAAAATATTTGATCCATTATTGATGGATTAACATAGTCGTCTTTAAAATCTATAAACTCCTTGACTTACTGTCCAGTTAAATATCAATCAATGTTGTTTTATTACCATTTTCACAGCTACATCATCCATAGTACACATCATTTCTATTCAAGTGACTTAAAAGTGCACAAGTACAGTAGTCTGTTTCTGTAACATCACATGCGGTAATACCTATTCCAAGTATGAAAGTGTTGAACATTGTGTTTGCTGTCATGTACCTCTGCTTTGACTTTTGAATGTGAATATTCTTTGTGTGTCCATAACTAAACTAAAAACGGCATGACTAAATATTCTTCATTGTGTAAATAAATATATTCTTCATATGAGTAAGGTCAAACTAATAATGTCTACATTTAGAGATCTAGACCAAATTGGGGAAACGCTTTTGAACATCCAGTGACTGTAGAAGTGCTTTCACAAAATAACTTAACTATTCAGCAACAGTTCAAATCATTTTGATGAGCATCATGTGTCTTCAACTTGATTTTCAAATCATTAATGTATATTTGAATGTATACTGTAGGTTTACTGCATTTACATATGACCGAGAGAGTCATACATTTCAATGAATGTGAGTATAACATCATAGAACACATGACCACTTCCTGTTGTGTTGTCATTTTTTGTTTGTTTTACCTTTGATCACCTAACACCTTTTAAAAGCCATTAATGAGGCACAGGTTGTTGAAAAAACGTCACCATGATTGTGTCCGATTTTGTATAATTTCTTTTTTCGCACAGCAAGAGACTCGTGTTTCAAATTCTCTCCTGCCAGAATCCCTACTTAATTTTGACATGTAGTTAAAAGTGAAAACTGTGCACTGTGTGAAGCTATGTAATTCCAAGGAATATTAGACAAAACGTGTGTCTGTTTCAAGGAGAAAGTCAGGGTGACAGAAAAAGAAAAGGATGAAAGAGAGAGAGAGAGAGAGAGAGAGAGAGAGAGAGAGAGAGAGAGAGA